GTGGTAGTGGTAGTGGTAGCGGTAGTGGCAGTGGTAGCAGCAGTAGTAGTAGTAGTAGTAGCAGTAGCAGCAGTAGCAGCAGTAGCAGCAGTAGCAGCAGTAGCAGTAGTAGTAGCAGTAGTAGTAGCAGTAGTAGCACTAGTACTGGTAGTGGTAGTAGTAGTAGTAGTAGTAGTAGCAGTAGTAGTAGCAGTAGTAGTACTTGTACTGGTACTGGTATTGGTACTGGTACTGGTACTGGTACTGGTGGTAGTAGTAGTAGTAGTAGTAGTAGCAGCAGTGGTAGTAGTAGTGGCAGTACTACTACTACTACTACTAGTGGTTGTGAGTAGTAGTCAGTAGTAGTCGTGGTGATGATTGTGGTACTTGCAATGAGGAGTCACCCACAAAATGAATCAACATCATGGCAAACAGATTGCTGCAACCAAAACCATATCAAACACGCTACACCAAGCACTATCCTGTGCTTAACACCGGGTCTGGAATTCAGGGGGTTAGGTTTAAGGTTCGGGGTTGAGAGGGGTGAGGGTTTTAGGCTGATTTAGATTTCGGTCTGAGGGTTTAGGGCACAAAGCTCCAACAAGCTTCGGCAATCTGCGCTTCCCCCTGGCCTTGTCCAGTACTTCCGTGACGTAGGTCGGTGGAGTCTCCGCTCGCTTCTGCAGTTGCAAGGGCACTCAAGCTCACCGTTTGTTACATTAATGTTTCTCTCTGATTGAGTTGCAAGAACTGGTTTGGTTTGCAATGTGACTGTGTAATAAGCACATAGAGCCTTCATTCGATGACACATCATTTTCAGAAACTCTCGCAAGCCAAGAAGCCTTAACAAGCGGAGAGAAACAAGCTTGGGGTGGATACTGTAAACTTCTCGCGTGTTACTGGGTAGAATTAGGCGTCTGTTAGGGTGTCGGCCACTTATTGTATGAGGATAACTGTAAGAACGCACACTCTGATCTCCGCAAAAAGACTACACAAAAAACCTTCAACAACCGCACAAAGCCATCGCAACTCTCTCAGAAATCCCGTATACCCTAAACCCTAAACCCTAAACAACTTTCACAGCCCTCCTTCACCTGTTGAAGCCTTCACAAAGCGTTTAACTCCATCCCGGTGGCCTTTTTCGAACATGAGCCCTTACCAAAGAAAGGGTTTAGGGTTTAGGATTTAGGGTTAATAAGGCTTAGGGTTTAGGATTTAGGGTTTAGGGTGAAGCCCAAAGCTCCTGAACCCACACCCACACTCGCTCCTAAACCTCAGAGCCTAATGAACCTCAAACCTTAAATCTCAACCCAAAACCTCAAACCTTAAACTCTTGTCAAAACCTATACACCTCAAAGCCTAAACCCTAAACCTGAATCGTAAACCCTAGACAGACCCCTGAACCTCAAACCCTAATTAAACCCTAAACGGCAAATCTTAAACCCTAAACAAACCCTGAACCTCAAACCCTACTCAAACCCTAAACCGGAAATCTTAAACTTTAGACCCTCAACTTAAGGTTGCGGGTGTAGGCTCTTCAGCTCCCAATCCCAAAGGGTCCAATGTACCTATACAGCAGAATGTAGGGTTTAAATATTAGGAATTACTATGATTTAGGGAAGTATCCCCCATAACAGTACATAGGACCCTAAACCC